TATACTGCCCAACCAGATGAGAAAACTTTATAGATGCCCCATAATAATAATAATCAAACAAAAGGACGAGAACTCATACAATGAGTAGGCAGATGCTTGTTTTTTTACAAAACTAAAGTGACATACGAACTTAGTGTTAGAGTTAGTAGTCAACTTGGAACAAAAATTCGGCAAAGTGCGAGTCGGACTCGCGTATGTAGGGTTCCGTAACAAGTAAAACATGTTTCTAGTAGGGGAGCCCCTTCAATTTTTAATTTATTTTTATTATTTGTTGTTATATCTGCCAAAGAAACACACATTCTGTGAAAATTTCAACTGTCTATCTATTACGGATCATGAAATACAGTTTGCTGACAGATAGACGGACGGACTGCGATTCCAGCTGAATTGGAGGCCGTGGAGGGAGGCATGCCTTGAGTTCCTCGTGCGCCTTGCCTGAGAAGGAGAATGGGGAGGAGAGGTCCTCCCCAGAGAAAGGGCTACCATGGGGCGGCGGGCACTGGTGGGGCCGCGGATTTGTGCGAAAGCATTCCCGTGGCCCTGCCAATATGCAGCGAAGGTGGAACACCATGGGGTTTTAGTCGGTGCGAGTCCGACATAACCCATCCTTGCCGCCGCGAGGCGGGTATGCGTAGGCATTTCCCCATGAAAAAAAAAGATGAGAGAGTGTTACCTACCCAGACCAACTTCTAGGCATAAAAGGAGTAAAAAAGACGTAATAAAAGGATATCAATAGAATACCAGCGTAAAATAGCAGCTTAATGCTGCTGTGTTTCGTTTGGTGAGTGTAGAGAACCGGAGACCCTTTTTACTGGAAACGCGGCATTCCATCTTAGTCTTCAGGGGTAATAACGCATCTGCATTTTAAATCTTAATCGAGGATATAATATGTAGATGTCTATGGGCTACAGCATCCACTTACCATCAGGTGGACTGTGTGTTCGTTTGTCATCCTTATTCTACGAAAAAAAATCATTAAATGCATTGCTTCTTGGCAGCAGTTTGGTTAGAAAGTGGAACCTATCTAGACGGTATACTATACAGAACTACATAAATAAAATGAGAACATCATCAATGTATTCGAAGTCAATTAAATACGCATTATTAAAGGATAACTCAAAAACTACTGATCAGATCTTGATCAAATTTAAATTGGCCCACATGGGGTGCACCAACTTTAAAATAAAAAATAATCATTAAAATCGGTTCATCTAAAAAGGTTCTGAGGTAACACACATAAAAAATACAAAGTTAAAAAAAGTTAATGTTACAGCCTATATATAAGTCCCACTGCTGGGCACAGGACTCCTCTTATTTCTGAGCGAGGTTTTAGGGCAAGCAAGTGCCCCACTGCCGCAATTCGGCGGACTTCACATGTCTTCGATATATTTTTGTTCATGTTTCTCAGATATGCAGGTTTCCTCACGATGTTTCCCTTCACCGTCGAGAACGTGGTAAATCAGCACTTAAAATTGCAATTAATAATATCATCGGTGCCGGCGGGAATAGAACTGGGATCGCTCGAGTACTGTGAAACTTACAGCGAGCGCTAACCATATGAGCTACCACGGCTCTCTCTAAAAAAAATACAGTCGAATTTAATACCTCCTCCTTTTTGAAGTCGGTTAAAAAGATTCCTACCATCTAGAAAGACATTATATACATATATGTTTATATGTTATACATTTAGTATCAGTATGTGTATATTTTCGGTCCATATTAATATTGGTTATAAAAATACTTGTAGAGTTTTTAATCGATCGCAATTATAATCAGGGATGTTACGGATATGATATTTCGGATATGGATACGGATACGGATATGGGAATAATATTATATCGGTTTCGGTTTCGGTTACGGATATAAAATTATTTCGGATTATCCGTTAGTTTCGGATCGGATAAGATTTTTGAGGTATTTAAGTAAAATACAAATAAGTAGGTAATCATTTGGCTTTATATCTTGGTTATCATTTGGTTACAATCAGTCATTTATTCAAGTAATTAACAATTTTATAAGAATAGTATACTAATTAATGTAGCTACCTACATATTTTTAAGTTATCTACTTAAAAATGCTATTACAAAATTATTATAATCAAAAACAATGCTATTAGTTTTTTTTTCTATTATATTCTTCAATATATTTCTAGGAACTATTACAACGCATAAATCAGTCTTCTTAAGTCTTTGCATATTGAAGAATAAAAACTAAAATCTGAACATAACATAACAAAATATTTACTTGTCTTTCACTTAATGATTTCTTTTAATAGTCGAAACTAAGCAAAGGTAAATTATACTTAACAAAAAGCAATTTCGCAGCCTTATCACCAGAAAGTCGATTTCTTAAGGGGTCATAAATTAACCCAGCTGCACTGAAAAGCTGCTCACTTGGTACACTTCCAGGAGGTGGAGAAAGGTACTGTCTTACTAAATCACTTAAGCAATGGTACTTGGTATGCATTTTCCACCATAAAAGTGGATCTTCATTGAGTGTCAATCGTTTCTCCCTGTTGTATTCATTTAGTAATGTCTTTTTAACAATAAATTGATTGTGCACATCATCACCACAATCTATGTTTTGCTCTTCCTCGTCACTTAAGCTTAATATTTCAGCTAGACAAGATTGAATGTGTGAATAGTTGCTTGAGCTTGTTGTCGGAATCTCATTCCGTGATCTCTTAGGTGAAGAAGGACCTTCATCACGAGAAGCTTTTGAACACCCAAGAATCCCCAGAATCTCAGACTGTACCTGTTCCTTCGTAATTTCAGTAAAAAACTTGAGTTTAAACCGTGGATCTAGATAAGTAGCTATTGTATATATTTTATTATTTTCAATATCCTGAAATCTGACATTGATGTCTTGGATCATTTTCGTAATCATTAATTTGAAGTTCTCAGAAGTCTCTTCTTTACTCTTCTCTGTTTCTAGTGTGTTTTTAAGAGTATATATTAATGGAATCACTGATGCTATTGTTGCAGTAGCACTACTTAACTCCTTTGTAATTTCTTCGAACGGCTTTAGTATTGCAACACACTTTTTCAAGTCGAGCCATTCATCAGCATTAAGAATTGGTATATCATGCGCGCCCGAATACAGTACTAAGGAGTCTTTTAATGTCAATATTCTTTTCATCATATAATACGTCGCGTTCCATCTGTGAAAAAAGAAAAAACAATGTCAAATCAAATAAAAAAAAATTACATAATAGATAGGTGTATAAAATAGAATAAAAAAATCTCACCGTGTGGAACATTCCTGAATTATACTTAGTCCTGATTGGTTCAGTCTTTCTGTTTGAATTTGTTTCAATTCATTTTGCGCGATTAGGGAGTGATTGAAGTGAGTTGCAATTTTCTTGCACTTCGTAATTACTGACGAGAGAAATTCTTCGATTTCCATCGTTGATCGCACACATAATTGTAGTTGATGAATAGTACAGTTTGCATCAGTGAAATTGGCCATATTCATAGCTTTTATCATATTAGATCCTCTGTCGCGTAAAATACAATGAACTGATTCCGTGCTTAAGCCCCAATCTTTCAAAATATTGTTTAAATTATTTGCTATAATTTCACCTGTGTGCCGACCCTCTAATTGTTCACACTTGAGTATTATAGAAACTCTTTCATATTTATTGGTGATGCCATGAGCAGTAAGACTAAGTAACGATACATTTGAGCTGGGCTCTGACCACACATCTGTAGTAAATGACAACTTTTCAAATTGCTTAAGTAATCCCAGCACCTTTAATTTAATTTTATTGTATATATCAGTACACAGCAAATTAGTAAAATACTGCCGACCTCTTAGATGATAGCGTGGTAATGCTGCCTGCATTAATCTTTGGAAGCCGACACCTTCCACAAAGTTAAATGACAAGTTTTGTAATGCAATCATTTCAGCTACTAATTTATCAATTTCTTTTTGCTTGACATTACTTTCATCCCAGGCGCCTTTATTTTTTAAAGAATCTGTTATTGACAGCTGTTTTTTACACTCTTGTAATGGTGTCAGCTGTTTCGTGGTATGTGGTATTTGTTGGATATCTTTTTCTAGTAACAAAAGTTCTTCGTACTTATCACCGTGTTTTGATTTAAGATGAAGTTTAAGCGAAGTAGTGCCACCTCCTTTTCGTGAAAAGGTTTTATCACACTGTTTACATTTTGCGGAATCTGCATTAACTTGATTAAAAAATCTCCAAATTAAACTAGACTTAGGTCGCATTTGGTCCAGATTAGGTAAACAATTTAATAACACAACACTTTTCTTTCACTTCGTCGAACTAAACTAATTACTCGTACCTAAATATAAAACTGACTGACGGGACTTATGTATGACTGCAACATAAATAATAAACAAACAATGCAAGAGTAAGAGACACGCGCCGCTAATGTAAAAAAGAAACCTGTTATAACAAGTCTCATTTAGACTCAGCCCCTACCCTTATCCGAAATTATCCGAAACTTTTATATCGGATTCGGTTACGGTTACGAATAGTTTTTTATTTCGGATATCCGATAGTTTCGGTTACGGTTACGGAGCTCCATAACATCCCTGATTATAATGTTCATTGAAAGTAAACATCCGTTCTATAATATAACTTTTATTGTTCCTTATAAATTTTCTTACAATCAGGAAGAACATAGTTTCGCAATGCGAACGTATGGTAAGTACATACATAACTAGAAATATGCAACATTAACTAAAAATGTATAAACTAAAACTTTTAGTACAATTAACATCTATGAGATAATTCAAAAAAACTTACATTTTATACAGATAACATAAGGTTTTTAATAAAAGACAAAAAAGCTTAAAAATACGACTTAACTATATCTACAACCTTTATGGAAGAACTAAATTTCAATTAATTTGATTTTTGTTATTTTTATCTACCAAATGTACAAAAAATAGCTACAAATAAATAATCTTTTACATAGGAAACATTTAGTAAACCTCTAGGGTAATCTAAAGTATAATGTATAAAACATTTTAGGACGTTGGACAGCACCATTCGTATATATACATATGTGAAATATTGTATACACATTTCATTAAAGAATTATTTCTAAATACAAATTAGTTTTACGCGCGAAAATCAAACTATAAACAATGATATTTGATAAAAGTATAGATACGATAGTTTCGTTTGGAAATTAAAAGCCGAACTTACTACGTTATAATTAGCATAATTTGACACAGACAGCCACAAATATCGTAAACTATTTTTTTAAATCTCTCTTCATTCATAGACACTACATCACCTTGGAAAGACTAACGAATATTTTGTGGTGCAGTACAAAAGTATACTTATTAAATATCATTGATTTATCTACAATTAATTTACAGCTTGTAGCGCATTTATGACGTTCATAGAGCAATTAAATTCATGTATCTTTTGTATTAAAAAGAAAAACAAACAAACATGTAATAACCATATCAAACTCCATAATCTAAATGTTCCAATACGGCCACAAAAATATTGTGTGCTTTGTTTCTTGCTTCACATATAAAATTAAATCACTTAATTTGCTGCATAAGCGTGTTTACAGCAGAACCTTTAACTAAACAATTTAAAAAAAAAACTCTTTGGGCTATAATCAGGGAAAATCCTGAATATTCCTATTCCGAGTCCGAGCCGTCTAGTCAGTTACTGTAACAAGTCTGTCTTACTCCAGCTAAGATTACACTAAATTCATCTTCTGGCCGAACCTCGGCACCTGGTGCAGGCGGCGCATAAGTTCCTGGCGGAGGAGCCCCAGCGATAACTGTCGGATATGGCGAAGCGTACATTCTTTCGGAACAATATTCTAATGCTGGTGCGGGGTCGCCGCAATAAGGTCTGTACCCTTGTTGTTCATATCTATATTGCTGATGTTGTTCCATTGTTCCTTCTGTCCCGTAGTCCAAGTACTTGTCAAACTCTCGAGCATCTACATCTGATTCGGGTGAGCCAGTTCTTATTTCTGGACGTGCGCTCATAAATCCTTGTTCCGATTCAGGTGGCTGGTTCGACGGTGGTTCCTCGGAGAAGTAATTACCACCCGCGTCGTACTCTGTTTTCGGCTGTTCGGGATAATGCGATACATACGAGTCCTCGGTTTTGTACATGTGTTCATATTGTTCGTACGGATGATACTGGATATTGTATTCTGTGTTCAGAGAACCGCTTGGTGCGGAAGAAACCCTTGGAGCTGAATTACCGAGGGTCTGTTGATCTTGAGATGTCGCTACTGGCGGAAAGAACGTGCCCGTTACTAACGGAGGCTGCTCGGCCAGTGTCCTTTGCGTGCACATAACGTACATGCCATTTGCCATTCCCATAGCAGCAACAGGTGCTGGTGAAAAGGAAACAGGGGTTCTGAATTTATAGGAGTAAGAGTCCGAGATCGACGAAGCATTTATAGCTCTTCGTCGTTCTTCGTACTGGAAGTTTTCTTTTTCATTCTCGACAGGAGAAGCATCGGGTGTAGGAAGGGGAGCTTCAGCTGGCGCACTTCTCCTGCCTTGTGGTTCTGGAGATCTTGCTGGTGAAGACTCCGGTGTTTGAACGTGTCCGTTATACTGGTTAGCCTGGTAGTCGGAGGCAAGGGGCGAGGTGCGGTAAGGAGAGAAGCCGGCAGCAGGATTATGTGAAAAGCGAGTATCTGGGGAATCCGTTCCTGTAGCGTACGGAGATCCTAATGCAGCGGAGGCAGCAGGAGGCGCGCTAGCTGGTGCCGCTGGCTGGTTCGGTCTAGTCTTGTTTTGTTTCCTTCGCCGTGGACGGTACTTGTAATTAGGATGCTCAGTCATGTGGATAACCCGAAGACGTTCGGCTTCCTCGACGTACGGTCGTCTGTCTTGCGGGGTCAACGAACGCCATTTTTTACCTGAAATAAGAAAATAAATAATTACATATGTTATAAATTTGTAAAATCAATTAATCACAAAAAATCTTATATGAATATTGTTTTATCACTTTCATTATCAGCTGTTCCGTGTGGTATCATATATATTATAAACGCCTTCGGTGACATAAAATACTGAATTTATTAGAATTGATGTCTAAAGATTAAATCTATATTACTTGCAAAATAGCTATAACAAAATCTCATTTTCTGATGTTTAAGATAAAGTACAACACTAATGTGACTTTTCCTATGACCCTTAGAAGTTAAAGAAAAATTAACATATTTATTACTACTAAGGCTGAGTAATATATAAATATTAGAATCAATAGTAGTATTAGTTTTACTATGCTGCAGCTCTATTTTTTTATAGGATAAGGGTGACAAGCGAGCACACAGTCCACTTGATGGTAAGTGATTGCTGTGGCCCATAGACATCTACATCTATCCTTGTTTGCGAATTAAAATGCAGATGTGTTGTCAGCCGTGAGGACTAAGATGGAATGCCTCATTTCCAGTAAAAAGGGTCTCCGGTTCTCTACACTCACCATACGAAAGCAGGTATTCTGTTAGAGCGTAGTGCTTCCCCGGTCGAGCCGACCCATTCGTGCTACAACTATACTACTAATATAGCTGCAGCATGGGTCTACCAAGTATCTATTCTGGCTGCAACACAGCTGTGTCGGTTTAACCGGGGAAGGAGCACGCTTACACAATATACCAGCCGAAAATTGTAGCATAATGATGCTGTGTTTCGTATGCTAAGTGAAGTTCTTAAGCAAGGATAGATGTAGATGTCTATGAGTCACAGCATCCACTTGCCATCGGGTTGACTGTGCACTCGTCTGTCACTCTCACTACAATGATAGTGCTTAGCCTACAGTTGTTCCATGTAGTCTAAAATTATCATTGCAGCTTTTCATACAGTGTCTGATTTATAATACGTGAAATCATTACATAAGATAAATATATACGAAAGTATATACGAAAGTATATATTTATCTTATATAATGATTTAGAAAAATATATAAGACGAGAAGATGTGTCGTAATTTCCCGAACGCTGCCCAGCCGAGTTGAATCCGTCGATTGACCGCTCCGTCCAAGTTGGACTCTGAGATCGGGATTGGCAAAATTGGCGGAGTCATATTAAAAATGGGCCAAATAAACAGTACCCTTAACTGACAGGTATGTATGCGTATGGGTATGTATATATGGATATTAAAGAAGAAAGAGATGTGTGTTAAGATGTACCAAATGAACGTTTGTAGTCTCTGTCTAGCCTCTGGTGACAGGCGTGATAGTTTACTATACGTTTTTGTATTTATTATGTCCTTTGACTAAACATGTGAAAATATCCACAGTAGCTTTCGTCAATTTGCTACAAAAATAAAAAGTAGGTCTCCACCAATGTCAAATTACACACACATGTCATAATGACAGCGCATGTGTGCTATTGTCTTGACAGTTCTCAACGCAAGTAGCGACTTATCTGGACAGCTACTTTGTCACAAGTAACCAAGTAGCAGCACATAAAAATATGAAACCTAATACCACGATTCATTACTAATATACAATGACAGTGACTAGATAACATTCCCGAGAATAACATTAGAGGTATTTTATAAAGGCAAAATAGAAGCCGTCTGTCACAGGCCCAGGCTAAATAATCACACCAGTGTTTTATCAAATAACTATAAAACACCTAGCGAGAGCTTCTCATAAATTACCTTACACCCGTTTCGATCAACTGTTTTATCGTTTTATATATTTTAAACTTTAACACAAGTGCGATAGGATACGTTTTCAAAAGAAGGTTAAAGTGTGAGGTTCAAAGAGGAATTATCGAGAGCCTGAGCAATCTTTAAGGATATTTATCAACGCGACACTACTTGCTACTGGCAAAACAAACAACTTCACTCTAAGGGATGGGTATTTGTCGATATAAAATGATAATTCTATATCGACGTTTTTTAATTATAAATATTGCATAAATTATGCAAATAATTAAATCTTATTTTAGTAAAGAAATAAAGTCATTTTTAAATAATTTCATTATTTTAAATGGCCTTTAATTATGGCTGTGTACATTAAGTTGTACTAGTATGTAATTTAACTGTCCTTATATACAATTAATGTCAATATTTATACACTTTAAAAACATTTTTACCATTGGTATTGGTTACATTTTAGTAAAAATTTAATAATATGTACAAAAAATGTAAGTCAGGTAAGTTCAACCTGCTTGAATGATGTCAAATGTCAAGTTGACAAATGACGGGAAGAGGCTTCCTGTAGTGAAGCGTCGGTCCATTAGTGTTTACCTTTTATAAGGATTATTATCGATGTTTTCGTTATCGATAATGGTCGAGTAATTAATGATTTATTAAAGGATTTACGGCGTGAAAAATTTCAAGTAATCTGTTTAATTTTTTTAGTTTTTGAACTTTTAATATTTTTATGTAGATCTGATAATAATGCTATTTGTGAGTTGAAAAAGTTAAAAAAAAAACAAGTTATAAAAAAGGAGAACACTTAAACTATTTTGTATTTATTTTGAAAGTCAATGATTACATTTTTTTACAATTAAGAATAAGAAGTTTCAACAAAAAAAAATAGTACTCAACAAATACACAAACTACAAACTAATAGTATTCAACTACTATCGTGAACCAATTTTTCGCAAGCATTTAAAGCTTAGTTAGGGTTGTGAACGAGAGAAATAGGATCGTTTATATCTGCTAGTATTCTTAAAAATTCTATGACAGTTTTAGTGAAGTGAAAATAAAAAAAAAATTTAAGGGGCAAGTAAAAATTATATTTTAACCTCAATGCCAATTTGACAGTGCAATCTTTGTTTATGAACTAGGCTTCGATGACATAAATAAAGCGAAATCCATCCAATATTCCAAATATAAATAAATTCCAAAGGCTGGTGGTAGTGACAGCATCACCACAGCGAGGGTTTTTTTTATAGGATAGGGTGACAAACGAGCACACAGTCCACCAGATGGTAAGTAGTTGCTGAGACCCATAGACATCTACATTTATCCTCAATAAAGAATCAAAATGCAGATGTGTCGACACCCGTAAGGACTAAGATGGAATACCTATTTTCCAGTAAAATGAATATTCGGTTCTCTACACTCACATACGAAACACAACAGTGTCAAGCTGCCATTTTACGCTGGTATTCTGTGAGTGTGGTCCTTCCCCGGTTGAGCCGACCCATTCGTGCTACAATTACACTACTAATATAGCTGCAGCATGGCTCTACCACGTAATCAAAGGTATCAGCTTTCCAAAAGTCTTCTTTATCCAGTGAAGTGAGTACTAGCAACGCTTCTAGGAAACACTTGCCAAAGTTACTACGTCCCACATCCGGGCACAGGCCTCCTTCCAATGTTGACAGCAGGTGCGTTTTGGTGGATTTCATTATATTTACTAGCTAATGTTTTATTAAAAAAAAAAGAAAACATGTGTGCAGTTCACACGTAGTAGAAGTGAAACCTTCACGATACTAAATTTCGAGAGAATGAGACGAATGCAGTGCACAGGCTAAATCCTATAGATGTATATGTTTATGTCTTTTTAGTGTCACAACGATTGTAAAGAAGTTTTCACGTCAAAAACTATCACCAGCAGTAAACTTTAGAGTATTGATAGTGATACTATCCAGTTACGATATCTATTAGTGAAATAATCGTATTCATCGATTAAAATAAACTACTATCGATAGTAAATATTTATAGTACTTTATTTTAAAATGAAACGACAACAAAAATCCAATATCATCTTTCTCATGATATTTCTTGGTTCTGAGCTACCTTATACAGAAGGGTAACTTACAGGTCATTGAACTCACCATAAATATGGATAATTTATTGCAGCTTGCCTACTACTAACTTAATAAACATTATTATTCACCAATGTACTGCGATATATGGAGTCACCTCATTTGAAGGATGACATCCATGACTCTTTGTTTTAAGGACAATGATTTCTTGATCTTGCTTTTTATTGCTTGCAAAGCAGTACAATTTTTTTGGCTTGTATTTTTAATGAGTTTTATTTTTAAGTGAATGTATTTTTTGTTTTGCTTCTGAAAATTAGAAAAACTTTTCATGTAAGTAGTATTAGGATGACAAACGCAATCCACCTGATGGTAAGTGGTTGCTGTAGTCTATAGACATATATATCATCTACATCTATCATCGATTAAGAATCAAAATGTAGATACGTTGTTACCCCTGAGAACTGAGATGGAATACCTCGCTTCCGGTAAAATGGTCTCCGGTTTTCTACGTTCACCATACGAAACACAGCAGCATTAAGCTGTTATTTTACGCAGGTATTCTGTGAAGACGTAGTCGTACCCCTGTAGAGCCGACTTATTCGTGCTAAAACCATAATACTGATGCAGTGTGGCTCTACCACGTATAAAATTGGTCACCCTCATATAAAAAGAGGCTACTACAACCCATGGCCAACTGCAACAGATGCGTTGTCACCACTAAGGACTGGGATGAAATGCCTAAACAGTCTATACATAATTATATTAGCTTTCTTATCTATCTAATTGGAACACAGCAGTGGGTAGGTATACTGTTTACCTCCAGATGAAGATAAGAGAGTGAGTGACACTAATTTAGATGTACTCCTGGGTAGAAAAGAAAAATAAGAGTAATGATGAACATTTATTTCATAAAATTTATAATTATATATATGAGTAGACGGCCTGTTAGTCGTTTTTCTGCCTTTTCCGATAGGAATGCAAAGAATGGATGTGAATTTGGAATGAAATTAAAAATTCACTCTGGATTTTTTATTGCAAATAAGATTTACCTAAGATGACTTAAGCCGACCTCAGCACCACTTAACGGGTCCAGATTTTGTTATTCTTTTTTTGTCACTTCACCAAAATTACACATATTAACTAAATATTCTTAGTTGTAAATATGTATAACTTAGGTCCGTTTACAT